AGCAGAGAGGCAGAGATCGGTTTAAGTCTGAATTATCTATTTCTATCCCTGGATGCAGCCTTCTGCCCTGGCTAAGGTGTTGGCTGTAGGTTTGTGATGCTGGAGAAATAGCTCATTTTCTCATCCAGGAGAAGGCACCTCTCCAGCACTGCCCGAGAGCCAGGGACACAGAGGGAGCTCCGGGAGGGACCAGCGAAGTTCATCCCACCCTTTTTCCCCCCTTCATCCCCCTTCTTGCCAGTGCTGGCACATTAGCATGCAGGGTAGGCTCTGGTGTGTATTTAATGACTCCATTTGCCGGTGTCTCAGCTCATACCGCCTTTTCTCCAGGCTCTTTCCAGCCTGCCTCCCCGCGAGCTGTGGAATCCCACTCCCTGCTGCACCCACGCGAGTGGGCTCCCCAGGACCTGGGTGCCGTTCCCAGCTCAGTTAGGCAGCCAGAGCAAAGCTGGAAGGGGAGGGGGCAAAATGAAGCAAGCTCAGGCGAGAGAGGCAGGGAGAGACTCCGTCTCGGCAGTAATGAGGGAGAAGCTGTTTAGTCATCTCTCTATATATACTTTCACAATGATGATCGCATTTACTGATTGCTTCTGACTGCATTTAGAGAGGGAGGCAAGAGGCAGGCAGCACAGTTCACCTTCACCCAGAGGAGTGACTGCTCCCCCTTCCTTCCCGCTCCCCAGATTTAGCGCTACTTTTGGGCGCTGACGGTGTCTTTCCTTGCCAGGTAAGGCATCGCTGCGAGCCGGCAAGATGGGGCTCCCTGGGCTGACTGGGAGGGAGGGGAGAAGTTTGCATGCATTTATCCTAAGCCTGTTGCTTTTGCTCCCAAATCTAACGGACTGAGGGAGTGAATGCTTTGCAGAAAGTTTTATTATCTGATGCGATTGTGAAGGGGAAGGAATATATGACTAACAGAGGATATCGAAGCTCCGGCGGACACATTTTGCTTTAAAGCAAATAGATCTCTGCTGTCTGAGCCTGACCCGACAAGGACAGGAGAGGAGAGAATGAATCTTCTCAAGGCTCTTTACGCCCATTATCAGTGTCTCATCAAGACCTCACGGTGTGTTTATCAGTCATATTTTAAATCATCCTGGAAGCATTTCTGCTTCCAGACAGGGAAACACCATGAGATTTTTGTTTTGTTTCCCTTTTTATGAGACTATGAAGAGACATTTATTAAGTACGGCATTGCCGGTGGGAGCTGATGTGGTAAGAATCCATCATTTATTTCTTGACCCTTTAGGCGAATAGAAATAACTGTGTTCTCTAAAGTTTCCCTCCAGAGCTTTACCGACCTAGCTGTGCCTGTCAGGTTTTTGTTTGAAACTGGGATGAAATCACGGTGCCCACAAAGGGGCTGCAGCGCAGGCGACGTGCGGCAGCCAGCGGTGGTCAGGGAGGGACTCGGATGGGGTCAGGAGTCCTGGGAGGGGGACGGGGGGCTCATGCCACAGGCTTTTCTATCAAATTTCCTTGCACCATTTCACGGACCTGATAATTATCTAAAGAAAACAATTCTTTTCTCTATAGATTCTGACTTTTTTAAGTCAGGAGGAGGCAAATTATTTTATTTAGTGTATCAGGTCTTCTAAACGTCACCAGCAGGTGACCGATCTTTTGTTAACCAATTCGTAAACTAACTAATAACTAAATTAGAAATATGTGTATAGCTAAATATATGTTTGCTAGAATTAAAGTGTGTCTGTTTACTGTGTGAGTTGAAGAGACTCTGTCAAATGTTCAGTGTATTTTGAGCCCAGCCAATTGCTTTCCAGCCTAAAAAGACAGGTTAGCAGTTACCAAAACGCAGGCGTGCAGAAAAGGAGGATTATTTCCACATTTTGTGGATAAGCTAGTTAGTTTGGGTTTTTTTCTTCCTTAGTTTGTACAGCTCTGACTTACAAATCCAGTCGTACCTCTCTCTTCATTTTCTGTCTCTTATTTTGGGGTGGGGTAGAGTTCCAAGGACTCATGGACAAGAAAAAGTGAAACCTCTTCTCCCTCTTGGTCCTCTCTCGCAGACAGACAATTTAGAGCTGAAAAATACGCTCTCTTTTTGCATATTTTGAGGATCAAATGGGACAGATTTAATGCAACTTTGAAAATTAAACTGTGTGCACTAAATTTTCTTAACCAGCTGCATCTCTGTCACAGAGAAATGAGAACTAAACTTCCACAGAAGAATACCCCCTCTCCTGCCCATTTCATAGCTGAGATATTTATAGCTTCCCCACATACACTACCAGCATGGAAGGACCCATTTCATCTTTAAAAATTGATTTAAAAATGTGTAAGTCACTCACGAGTTACCAGCGATTTATTAGAACAATTATATGTGAAGTATTTATAGTGCCTCCGCAGCTAATGTAGGTAACCTGGAATTTACAACCAAAGTTATAGAAGTACAGAAGAGGTTTCTAACGAGGTTCCCCTGAGAAATCAGGGGAGATGAGGATCCAGCGCACTGAGCTGGTACATCGCCAGTCAGTCCTGGCAGAACGACTGTGGTCGTGTCGCTAATTGAAATTAAAAAGCAGAGAGGACAGTTTACCAGCAGGGAAGACAGGAACAGGACGCGTGATCTCGGTCCCTTGGTTACTTGCCTGTATATGTTTGGTGATTAATGAAACGGCTCTCGTTTTGCTGCCGCCTGTTTTGCAGTCCTGTTCTCAAGGCAGTGCTTCACAGCAGTTGTAAGATCCACCGCTGCTGGTACAAGAAATGGGCAGCTCTGCTGTCTGAGCCCACCGCGTCCCTGGAGATTGCCTTTCAGCTGAAGCCCGGGGCAGGTTTTCAAAGTAGTGCAGAGAAAGTTTGCAGTGCTGCACTCTGCCTCTTCCCCGCACAGACGAAAGAGCCTGGTCTCCAGGGCTGTCAGCCTGGCACTATCAGCGCAATAAATTCCCTCTTATGGGGAGAAAAAATAGAGTCCTTTATAGGAAAGTATTGTGGGACGTTTCCTCCAGTGCCATGTATATAAGCAAAGTGTCTCCTTGGGATAAGCATCGCTATGGGTTATTGTGTGTTTCATAATTACAAAACCTCTTCCAGCAGCGGTATGATGCTTGCACGAGGGATTTCAATTGTCCTTTAGATAGTAAAATTGCATAGAAAGATACTCCACATTAAGGTGTTGAATGTTAATGTGCCCTGAAAAGGAAGAGCATTTCTGTGAGCAGTTTAGCCATTTTCACCACAGATTGATTCCGTCATTTTTTATTCAGTATTTTGATGGCCTGTTGAAATCAATAATGCTGCAGCCTTACCGGCTGGAATGGCAGCTTCCATATAATTGAAAAACTTCAGAGTAAAACTGCCTAGAAGGATACCATGTAAAGGATATAATTAGGCTTTGAGGGCCTGAGTCAGTGGAATCAATGGAATTTCCATTGATAAATTGACTTTTGATAGGGCCCCTAATGCATCTGATATGATAACAGCACCTTTCTCCACAAAATTTTATGGTAGAGTTAGAAAATCATTAGGGAAGTGAAAGTAAATACAAGTTAAAATGAAAGTTAAATATTGTAAGAACTCTGACCAAAGACCAAAAAGAAAAAGGAAATTCATGGCTAGATCAGAACCACAATAACTACTCTAATTTCAAGAGAATGCTGGCTTACAGTGGCTGAGGATCTGGACAACTTGGGGTATTTTTCATCTAAAAATCAAAAGTGCAGTGAACATATTTCATTTCGACCTAATAGTCCTCCAGTTCTTAGGTTGAAGGACTTCTGCCTCTGTTAGCTGGGAAATAATCAAGGTATCTTCCTGCTGGAAGAAACTTGTCCAACTTTGGAGTCTTCCCGCATTCTGATGTTCTTGGTAGCTTAATCCATCAGCTTTCACACCTGGGGATCAAGCTTACTGTTGCTCAGGTATTCTGAGCAATGTTTCCCTAAAAGTCAGAATTTTCCTCTAGTCAGGTGGAGGGATTGTAGTATTTCACAAGAGTAAAACCCATCTCTAAATGAGAGAGACCAGCAAAAAACTGCTGCTGAGGCCAGGTCTTTAATTAAGGGTGGAAGAAAATTAATGAAAACCAGGGAAGATTTTCTGTTTCTTTCAGATGACAATGTTCTTAGTGCAAGATTCATCACACATTGAACTTTTTTGAGACTGGAAACCAAGCTCAGTCCAGTCATGGCTTTTTGTGGCATACAATTTCAGTGGGTGAACTGCAGGCTGATTTCACTGGAGTTCCCAGCTCTTTCTTCACAGCTGTAGTTAAACTGATGAGCACATGAGGCTTACACCTGGGGAATTATGGATTAGTCTTGTTTGTAAGGAAGCAAATATAAATTAGTGTGTTTATGCTACTTTTAAAATGCTTTTAATGAGGAATCATTTGCTATTCAAAATTTCAATCTATAATAATGCCATAACCCCGCTGAGCTGATTATCATGTGCCTTGTTTAACATCATTCTTCAAATGGGAGTTGAGGGCAAGCCAGTTGTTTTAAATTCTTGGGTATGTACTGATATCCGACTCTCTAACACAAAGGGGCAAGACACCCCACTTGACTGTGTGTTGTGTTTTTATTTTGTTCTGTATTTTAGATGGAACTGATCTGACTTCCAACAGGTCTCAGGAGCAGCCTAACTGTCTTCTCCAGTAACAAGGCCTGGGGACATCATGGCAGCAGGAGTAGCAGCATGGTTGCCCTTTGCCAGGGCAGCCGCCATAGGATGGATGCCAGTGGCCAACTGCCCCATGCCACTGGCTCCAACGGAGAAAAACAAGAGGCAGGATGAGCTGATCATTCTCAATGTGAGCGGCAGGCGTTTCCAGACCTGGCGGACTACACTGGAGAGATACCCAGACACTCTGCTGGGCAGCACCGAGAAGGAGTTCTTCTTCAACGAAGACACTAAGGAGTACTTCTTTGACCGGGACCCTGAGGTCTTTAGGTGCATCTTAAATTTTTATAGAACTGGCAAGCTGCACTATCCCAGGTACGAGTGCATCTCTGCTTATGACGAAGAGCTCGCCTTCTATGGGATCCTCCCTGAAATCATTGGGGACTGCTGCTATGAAGAGTACAAAGACAGAAAACGGGAAAATGCAGAGCGGCTGATGGATGACAATGACTCAGAAAACAACCAAGAAGGGTCCATGCCATCCCTGAGCTTCCGGCAGACCATGTGGCGAGCCTTCGAGAACCCCCACACCAGCACCTTAGCCTTAGTCTTTTACTATGTCACCGGTTTCTTTATTGCTGTCTCTGTGATCACTAATGTCGTGGAAACTGTCCCTTGTGGCACGGTGCCTGGGAACAAGGAGCTTCCATGTGGAGAAAGATATGCTGTGGCTTTCTTTTGCTTGGACACGGCTTGTGTGATGATTTTCACAGTTGAGTATCTGTTGAGACTCTTTGCAGCCCCAAGTCGCTATAGATTCATTAGAAGTGTGATGAGCATCATTGACGTGGTGGCCATCATGCCATACTACATTGGCTTGGTGATGACCAACAACGAGGATGTCAGCGGAGCCTTTGTGACACTAAGGGTTTTTAGGGTTTTCAGGATTTTCAAGTTCTCTCGCCATTCCCAAGGCTTACGAATCTTGGGCTACACTTTGAAGAGCTGTGCCTCCGAGCTTGGCTTTCTCCTCTTTTCCCTCACTATGGCAATCATCATCTTTGCAACTGTGATGTTTTATGCAGAGAAAGGGTCCTCGGCAAGCAAATTCACCAGTATTCCTGCTTCCTTTTGGTACACTATTGTAACCATGACAACACTGGGGTGAGTATTACTTTTTCTTTCACTGAGCAGCAGGCAAGCATGTACTGGGAGCCTGACTTCAGTTACTCCTGAGCATTTTCCTGGGTGCATGTTCGAAAAGGGGCTGGAACTGTTAAGGGCTTGATTGTTCTTTGCCTTACAACTTCTGCAATTTATGCGTATGTGAAGTTGTATAAAACAGAAAAAGCACTTACACCCACTTGACAAATGCTTGGCACGACGGTAAATGAGTGCAGGAGGAGCAAGGCTGTGGAGTAGCAGGTCCTGTTTCGCACTCCTGCAGGAGAGAAAAGTTAACAGAGTGCAAGGGAGCTGGCAACTAGAGCTTATGTTTTTTTTCAGACGTTCATTTGAGCCATAGATTTTACACAAAGCTGTTGATGTATATGTCGTCTCTCTTTGCGATGTCAGTCATTGTTTCTTTACTTTGACATGCCAGTGACTATAGATTTGCTGAATTCGAATGGATATTGTGGGCCGCTGTACTGAAAATACTCAGTTATCTCCAGGACACAATCTGTTTTCTACTTGATCGAGCAGGGTACAGGCTTCTTGTCCGTGTTTGGTTGTGAGTTTAAAAAATAATATGAGTATGCTGTAGCAGTTGCAGTAGAATTTCAAACATTCCCATGGACAGGTACAAAAATAATGATACCAAAGCAAAGGAAATGTAGCCTGGAGGGCATTTTTCCCCCTTATATTTTATTTCTGTCTTACAGATGTTTCTACTGAGATTATAGATTTGAGCTTCTGTTGCTCTGAACTAAAACCTTTGTAAGCAGAATGACCAAACCCTCACCCTGATGGGGTTATGTAAAAGAAAGTAGGCATCACAGGCTGCTGCTTCAGGCAGTCACAAAGTTATGATCGAATGCAATCTCTCAATCCCGCACATTAGAGCAATATACTAAGTTTATAGTTACTTTGCAAAGAGTTTTCCCACTGGAGGGTTCACACAGTTTAATATGCAGATGTAGACAATTCTCATTCTTGTAATATGGTGACCACTTTTTCTCTAAACTGCTTTTGATTTTAAACACTTCTCTGTGCCTATTAGACATGAACAGGCTCACAGTAGCACTTTTAAATTATTAAAATCATAATTCAGCTGTCAGAAAGGCACAGAATCTGAGCATATGACAACTGCAAGTCTGAATTTCTTCATTAAGTGAAAATGTAGAACATGTTTGTCATAGTCACCAAAAGATCTCTTTTTCCTCCATTTTTAACATCTAAGCAAAGTTTGCAAGATCATGTGGCAAATGCTAAGGTCCTTACCCTGGAAAAGAAGTCAGTGTTTGCTTAGAAGTCGAAGCTGGGCTTTAGATCCCAGCACTCCCCCACCCTCTGGTTCCCACCATCATGTCTGAGCAGCTTCAGAGGGACACCTGTCCTGGGTGGCTTGTTCGCGCGTCCTCTCCAGGAGGGGGAAACGCATGAAAATACAGTTCTGTTACCTGGTTTCTGTTTAATAATGATCACACCTATCCTTCTATCTACACACACTTACGCACATTCACACATACGTCGTTGTACCTTTCTGACAGGAAAGTCGGGGTCAAGGTAACGTTGTGTCGCTTGGGAACAAACCCCCTTTGTGAAATACATGCAGAATGTGCTGTAGTGCAACTGAGTCTCTGTTCCCATCAGTGCAGTGACTTGGGCTTG